ACACACACACACACACACACACACTCACAAACACACACACACATACACACACACATACACGAAAAACCTCTTATTAAGCTATTGTTAAATGTATTCAACACTGACAAACACCACAATCAAAACACACTTACCACTACTAGATCTAGATCTAACTAAAAGCCATGCCATCGATTGAGCTGTTTTTTCTCAAACTTCATCTTCATGAAAATCGTTTTTCTCGCCATGACAGAAATGCACTTAGAACTGACACCCGCTCCCTCTGAGATCTAAATGGGGTCAATGTGGGCTTAAAACATTTGCAATCGCTCGGGTATATTTCCCAAAACTGTAAGCTTTAAAAAAAAAATCTCAGATTCTAAAATCAGTTTAGTTTTAGTAAGAGTTTTACGGAACTTACAACACAAAAAGGTCATATCAGTGCCGAAGATTTGAGGTGTTACAAGAGAGAAACACAAAAAAGAAGGAGGTGAGATGAGGACGATAGATATTTTATAGAAAAGAAGGAGCAAACCACACCAGAGCACCCGCCAACCACCCACTCTAAAATCAGTATTCCTTTCAATCGATGTTATTTCAATAAGTACATGTACCAAAAAAATGTTAATATCATTTTACGAATGTGTTTTTACGCACTACTAAGAGGAAAAAACACAAAAGACAGGTAAGGGTGCGGGTTCTACTCTACCCATCAGGGCCAGGTCGGGCTTGGATAGAAACAAAAGCCCAACGGAAAGACCGAGATAAGAAATTCTCCTCATTCGACCTCGGGTCTTTTGCGTGCGATGGTGAAGCGCCTAACCACTACACCACAGAGGCTGGTTAAGAGATGGCGATGCAACCTTCCACAGTCTGATACTATCTTTGAATGAAGGGGAGAAGAAAGTAGAAACCCCCCCCACACACCAAAAAAACAAAAACAACAACAAGAGTGAAATATAAGCAACAACAACCAAAGAAAAAAAAAGGGGGGGGGGTAGTGATGTTACCTTCCGCTGTCTGCTGCTATCTTCGAATGCAAGGGGGGATCAAAAGACATGAGAGGAAAATAGAAATAAACAACAACAACAACAACAACAACAATAACAACAACAGGGAGGTGGGACTGCCTCAACCGGTACCCAAGAGAGGCGGTGGCCCTGGCGAAGAGCACGCTCTTCGGGACTCCGAACATTTCGAACGGATAGGCTACCACACACACACACACACATACACACACACACAGACACACACACACACACACACACACAGACACACACACTGCAACAACCCTGCACATGGCACTGGACAGAAGTGCGAGAGCCCAGCTGTTGCTGGATCTATAACATCATAGCAACAACAATAACAACTTTCCTCCTCCTTACTATCGTCATTTTCTCCCAACTGTATGTTTGTCATTCTCTTGTAAAATTCTATTTCCAGGGTGTCTTGATAGTCGAAGCAGACTTTGTGTTTTTGAGGCTAGAGAGATGAGCAGAATAAGCCTGATTCCCCGTTTAAAATTCTCTGTTGACCTCCACCCTTTGGCGCTCATCTCATATGACCTTATGCAGTTGCGAGCGCCGTAAAACCTTATGAAAACTACACAGAAAAAAACAGCAACAAGAAAAGAACAACAGATTTCATTTGACAGTCTCACACGTAATTTATTCACCAACATGATTATTCTACTATGGACGAAAAATAAAATAGAACTTAGATCAACAATCTTCTTTAATTCTTGCTAAGTTACAAGATCACCCCACGCTGTGCATTCGTCCGTCCACCATTCTCTCATTCCAGTTATTCATTAAAAAAAACCCACCTAAGTAACAATAAGGAACTCCGCAAAAGATCATTATTCAAATATTACGGAGACGAAAATAACCGAGTAAATAAATGCCCTATGTATAGTGCGGTCAAACATTCATGTGGCAACTTAGTGCATCTCCTCAACTATTTTTGTTTTTGTTTTCCGAGATGTTTCGCCCTTGTCCGAGAAGGCTAGGTGTAGATCTTTCCTACCAGAAGATCAGGGGTGTGGCAGAAAGACTACAGTAAGGAGGAGTCAAGGAGTAGCAGTAGAAAGGCTGCAGAAAGAGTCAGGAGCCCAGAGGAGGGGGCAAAGGAGGTGAGGGGGTGGGGGCAGAAAGTGGAAATAAAACAGACAACAGAACATTGCTAGAGAGCAGGAAAGGAGGTGAAAGGAGACAATTTTTAGAGAAGACAATTTTTTGATCGCTACCCGGATTCGAACCCGGGACCTTTGAATGAGAGACCAACACCTTAACCTCTAGGCCACGAGAGCACCCTCCTCAACTATTGCGCATAGACTCTCCAGCTTTTGCATCATGACTTGTTATTTGTCTTAACAGATCAATATTTTTGCAATCCCCTGTTAGCTGTATTCTAGAAAATTCCTTAATAAATACTAGTAAAACATCACAGTGGGTGGTTTCTACAGATTTTAAAAAGGTTTACAGCATATCACTTTTGAAAGCAAGTCAGTCATTTTTTTTCTAATCGAGAGATTTCTTTATTGAACCCATGTTTTGAGAACTTTTAGAGTAAAAAAAGTGTTCACGATTAATCTAATTTCTTGTAACTAGGTTTGCCACTAAAAAATGACAATGGTGAGATGTGACGTAGGTCATAATATGCGTACGCAAAGTTTGCGTGAGAAGCCGGAAGTGCGGTGAACAATTCCATTTTCCGCGCGAAGGAGATTTGTAGTATTTTATATACTTTTTTAAAGAAAAGATTTTAAAGTTAGCCTCAATTGTTGTGGAAAAATATGATTAGGTTAAGACAAATTGACACAAAATGGGGCCCAAAGTATGAGTGACATTGGTTCACCCGTTGAAGAGTTATTTGAGGGTAAGTTACATCACAAATATTTGACCGCACCTTAGGGACTTTGGGAAGTACTAGTGGATTAATGACTATTGGGGAAGTCGGCGAATGAGCATTATTCAAATATTCCATTCAACTAAACAACACAAATGCACCAGGGAAGTAAAAAGTTTATAGCGGATAATACTACAAGTTGCTCAAAGAAGGCAGGATTCCAACTGTGAACCTTGTAGGAACTCAGCGGAAGAACGTGGCTGTCACAGTTTTTCCGCCACTGGAAATTTCCTGGAAAGATAAAGGTCACAAAGGTTACAAAAGTCACAAAGGTCAAGGACGTGGCTATGTTTAATTTGGTTAGAATTATTTATTGATGTCGAAATTGAGCAGTTTAAACACATTATCATACATAAGACACACACACACACACAGAGAGAGAGA